GCGACTGTGCTCAGCCTTGAGTGTATTTTTCTAATTTTATGATGTAGTGAAAAGCACCCAGGAATTACGTAGACCTGGGTTCAAATTCTACATTTATGATTTAATAGTTATAGGATTTGGATACGCTCTCTAACCTTGATTTTCCTCGTGCGTAAAATGTCAGAGAAGATAGCGCCCCTTGAGGTTGTCACGCAGTGTAATTGACGTGCGACTGATCACGTCTCAAGCATGAAGCTTGGCACAGAGTGAAGTGGAGCTGTTGCCTCCGTGGACGCAGTCATGCGGGCAAACACCTGCACTTTGCATAGCCCACTCTGAAGGAACGTATCACATCTTGTACTTAGCTGTGCACGCACCAGCCTCCCCACCAGCACACCCGTTTCTTTTTGTAGTCCAGGGCCTGACATATTGGATGGAAATTCAAAATATATTAATCTTTAGTAGTAACCTAGATTCCAGGCAATATTCTCTTTATCTGGAATCTTGACAGAACATTTTTCTTTTTTCTTTCTTTCCTTTTCTTTCTTTCAGTTGTGCATTTCCAATGCTGTTTCTTTTTTGGTAAAATAGGGTCCCTCTCCAGGGACTGCTATGAGGATTACATGATTCAGACCTGTGAAGGGCCTGGCACGGGACCTGGTATAGTGCAGAATTTTGGTGGGGGTGGCGAGTTGGGTGGTGGGAGTTGCATGTTGAGACAGGTTCTCACTCTTGCCCAGACTTGTTTTGATGTCTTGGGCTCAAGCAATCCCCCTGTATTAGCCTCCCAAAGCACTGGGATTATAGGTGTGAGCTGCCTTGCCCAGGCTCATGCAGATAATTGTGTAAGTGCTTCTGAAAATTATGTACAACTTGTGTATTTGCTATTACAGAATAGCTTTTGAGGTAATTTATGTTGAAATTTCTATCTTTTAAAAACACGTTTCCATTCCAAAACTAATACATGCTCCCTATTAGAAATTTTGCAAATATAGAAAATACAGACTCCTCAGTCTAATGATTTGCTCCTTTCTGAGGCTTCTGTGGAGCAGATTTGTGGTAGGCAACGTTCTTCTTGCGAGGCATGAGAAAACTAGAAACCTGGACTGGAATCCTCGCACAGGCCTGCAGATGTAGAAATCCGCAGGTGTGGGCAGTCTGGACCTCGAGCACATTTCCCGAGAAGGCTCCTGAATTGTTTTGGAGAACGCAATCGATGATAGGCTTACCTACATGACGCCTTTCATTCCAGCCAGTGTTTCTGAAGCCTGCCTTGATGAAATCGCACTGGCTGCAGAACTGATGTGGGCCCAAATGTCCTACCACTCACAGCACCAACACATGGACTCAGACAGCTTTTGCTCCTGGTCCGGACATGTGGCTCTCAAGCCCTGATTTTAGTGCAGTTCATCTAGCCTTGGTTTATAAAAGCCTATCGTGTCAATAAGATTCTGCCCACACTAATAACCCTACTCAAGTAATTACAGTTGTCTCATCAGCTGCTTTAAAAACCTTCCCTCATTTTGGAGCACCCAACCACACAGAAACTCAGCCTGCTCTCTGGCTCAATGCACTGACTGTTTTTCCGTGGTGATCCAGTGGCTGTGTGTGGAAATGGCCCATATCAGCAGTGTGGCTGCAACACATGCTCAGTGTCTTCTCTTTCTTCCCGTAAGTGAGGGAGGAGCATGACTAAGGGAACACTAACAATTTTATTCTTTTGATGCAACCTCAGAAAGAATTTCCAAATTGGTCCTTCCTGTCTATCCTCATTGTTTCAATCTTCTTGAGGCCCTAACATGTGCTATCCCATAAGGTACTTTAACCCATTTGCAATCCACATTTTAGTCTCACTTCCTGGAAAAGAAGGTAGCCAGTACCCAGCTGCTGCTGCTTGCTGCCAGGAGTCTATCACCACTGTCCATAAGTCCATGCTCCTCCCATGCTATTTTCTTTGCCAACAATGTTCTATCTCTTGAAAAAGTCCTGCTATTTTGCCTAATCTGAATGTTGCTGCAGTGAAATCTTAGTAGACTCTGGAAAACAGTTACCCAGTTCTTCCCAATGCTCTCAGAGCCCACTGTTTTGCCTCTGTTCCTGCCCTTATAGTGTGATGTGATTATCTGTTTACACATCTGTCTCCTCCCACTGGAACGTTAGATTGTGGAAGCCAGTGATAGGTGCATCCCCAGCGCCCAGCGCACAGTAGGCGTGCAGTGTTGATTGCAGGAGTAACAGTGACTCATGCAAAGAATAAACATCCTTTTGCTCATGGGAAATGGTTTTTAGGCTAATATGCTTTTGTGATTTTGCAAAAAATGGTAAAGTTCAAAGGGGAAAAAAGTTTCCTAACCTGTTGTGACACATAGCAAGAGATTTTACTGCATATTTCTGTTTTTATCTGCCATATGGCTTTCCATTCACAAACGGCTCTAGTGAGAATTACTTTTGCAGGTAATTTTCTAATGATTGTCTTGGGATAAACAAATTTATCAGACTTGTTTGGCTAATGTATTCAAGGAGGTTCACAGGGGAAAAGATTAATCATCTAAGAAGCAAGCCAGTGTCTGTCATTAGGCAGAAGGGTCCAGAGAGATGTTCAGAGCTGAGCGGGTGGTTGCTATGACTGCAGATACCTTTCTCTCCCTTTGTGAGGTCAACGGCAGCTCCCAAGCTGATTGGCTAAAATTAGATTATCCTGCTGACCAACTATGGGGAGTTAATTTCATCAGAAAGAGAAAAATGGTAGGAAATCCTGCTGTGATGCTACAAAGGAATTTTCTTTAGAAACCCACAGAGTCCAAGTTTGCTTTCATTATAATTAATATGTTCCTTCGAATAAAATAAATTAAGGGAAGCAGACAATAGCATTAGTCTATTATTTTGTGTATCTGTATAAGCTTTAATCTCACTTGTCCTAAAACCAACTCTCAAAGTTAAAGTTACCTTTTTTTCCTGTAAATACCTCCATAACCAAAGACTGTCATCGTGTATGTGTTTATATAATTGGAGATGTCTAATTGTGAAAAACACAAAAGGAGCTGGCACAATTAAAGGTATCTGTTTGCAGGGCTCTTGCCCTAGGGAAATAGTGGGCACAAAAAACTTTAAGCAGAATCATTTACCTTTGGATTGAGAGCGTAGTTTTAATTGAATTTGAATAGAATTCTGCCTTCCAAAGCGTTCTTTTCCTAGAAGTCTTATACTGCCTACCCTCTGGCTTTCCACCTGGTATATCCTTTGTTCTGGAAATTAATCACCACTGACCTGGCTTACCATATTTATTTCTGTATAGAGAAAATACAAACTTAGTTCATTTTGGAAAACAGAATGTTGTCCGTTTGCAGGCTCTACTGAGTTGTAAAACTAAGCAGATGTAAAACACAAACCAAAGAAAACCAACCCACAGGTTTTTAATTTTTTTGTTCTTTTGTGACTATTGAAATAAAATATGATTAAGAAAAGAACTAGACTAATTTGTACCTCAAACAACCGTGACATGGGTTGACCTGTATGGCAAACCTGCACATGTCCCCCTGAACCTAAAATAAAAGTTAAAAAATAAACAGAAAAAGAGTTAACATTTATTGAATTCTGGAATTGTGGATACTCTACATGCTTCTATTTATATGACTGTCAAATCAACATGTTTTGAAAATTAAATGAACCTATTGGGATACATTTGGTTGTAGGCTTAAGGGGTCATGAGAGGGACTGAAGATGCCCCTTTCCTGAATGCGATGGTTGAGGAACTGGAAATGAGCTTGTATGTATAAAAGGCAGTGATGAACTCCTTTTAAAACAAAAGGAGCAAAATAAAATCTCCTTTTAAAACAAAAGAAGCAAAATAAAAGCATTACTGAGCAATCATTTCAAATAGGAAGCACTATGGGAATTCCTAGGAAGAGAGTGAGGCTACCATGGCTGAAATGTCCAGCTCCAGATATTCTTACAGAAGACTAGGGAGAGAGATGAGGAGATCACCATGACAACATATGTGATGTTACACATCAGTGAGGATTTGGGAAACAAGGACAAAACACCATCGTTCCATCACCCTCATAATAATCACTATATTAATCTTATCTATTCAGTGCTTATCCTGTTTCAGCCACAACACTCATTTACCTCCCCACAATACTCCTATGAAATAAGTTACTATTTTTATCATTATTATTGCATTGTAATTAATGTGAGGAAATTGAGCCATAGAGATCAATCCATCTAAATTCACACTATTAATAAACTGAGGAGCCAAAATTCAAATCCAGTTTTCCTTGTTAGCATTTTTTGCACAACTCTCTGCTTTTTTTTTTTTTTTTTTTTTTTGTTGTTGTTTGTTTGTTTTTCGGAGATGGAGTCTTGCTGTGTTGTCCAGGCTGGAGTACAGTGGCACAGTCTTGGCTCACTGCAACCTCTATCTTCTGGGTTCAAGTGATTTTCCCATCTCAGCCTCCCCAGTAGCTGGGGCTACAGGTGTGTGGCACCATGCCTGGCAAGTTTTTGTATTTTTTAGTAGAGATGGGGTTTCACCATGTTGGCCAGGCTGGTCTCAAACTCCTGACCTCAGGTGATTTGCCAATGGCCTCCAAAAGTGCTGGGATTACAGGCATGAGCCACTGTGCCTGGCCTCTGCTTGTTTTGCACGAGTGTTATTGCAATCTTCATTTTTTGTTACATTTTCACTTATGTTATTGTATAAATCTAATGATCATTTTTGATAGCTACACAGTATTTCACTGAGTGATTTGTACCATCAGTTGCCCAACATTCCATTATTGCTGAATCTTAGTATTTTCAGATTTGGAAACATTTTGTATATAGGATATTTTTCTGTTCATATGAAGGCTATTTCACAAGGTTGATTTCTAAAATTGAAAGGACTCTTTGAAAAACAATGTTGTCAAGGTCTTTCTTGTCAATAATATATGGGTACTCAATGTATGCATTCCTGGCAACTTGGAAGAATCAGCAAAGAAGCAAAGCCACAAAACCAAAAAATAAATTAAAAATGTTGATTGGTGCTCACCTTGGCAGCACATATATTAAAACTGGAAAGATACAAAGAAGATTAGCATGGCTCCTGCAGATGGATGACATGCAAATTAGTGAAGCATTTCATATTTCTTGATTCCACAGAAATGCAAACTATAAACCATCAGAGAATACTATAAACAACCATGTGCAAATAAAGTAGAAAATCTGGAAGAGAGGGATAAATTCCTGGACACATACACTCTCCCAAGACTAAACAGGAAGAAATCAAATCCCTGAATAGGTCAATAAGAAGTTTTGAAATTGAGGCAGTAGTTAACAACCTACCAACCAAAAAAAGCCCAGGACCAGACAGATTCACAGCTGAATTCTACCAGAGGTACAAAGAGGAGCCTGTACCATTTCTTCTGAAACTATTCCAAACAATAGAAAAAGAGGGACTCCTCCCTAACACATTTTATAAGGCCAGCATCATCCTGATACCAAAACCTGGCAGAGACACAACAACAACAAGAAAATTTCAGGCCAATATCCCTGATGAACATCAATGCAAAACTCCTCAATAAAATACTGGCAAACTGAATCCAGCAGCACATCAAAAAGCTTATCCACCACGATCAAGTCAGCTTCATCCCTGGGATGCAAGGCTGGTTCAATACATGCAAATCAATAAGTGTAATTCGTCACATAAACAAAACCAATGACAAAAACCATATGATTATCTCAATAGATGCAGAAAAGGTCTTTGATAAAATCCAACACCCTTTCATGCTGAAAACTCTCAATAAACTAGGTATTGATGGAACGTATCTCAAAATGGTAAGAACTATGACAAACCCATAGCCAATATCATACTGAATGGGCAAGAGCTGAAATCATTCCCTTTGAAAACCAGCACAAGACAAGGATGCCCTATCTTACCACTTCTTTTCAACACAGTATTGGAAGTTCTGGCCAGGGCAATCAGGCAAGGGAAAGAAAGAAAGTGTATTCAAATAGGAAGAGAGGAAGTAAAAATGTCTCTGTTTGCAGATGACATAATTGCATATTTAGAAGACCCCATCGTCTCAGCCCCAAATCTCCTTAAGCTGATAAGCAACTTCAGCAAAGTCTCAGGGTACAAAATCAATGTGTGAAAATCACAAGCAGTCTTTTTACACCAACAATAGACAGATAGCAAAATCTTGAGTGAACTCCCATTCACAGTTGCTACCAAGAGAATAAAATACCTGGGAAAACAACTTAGAAGGGGTGTGAAGCATCTATTCAAGGAGAACTACAAGCTCAATGAAATAAAAGAGGGCACAAACAAATGGAAAAACATTCCATGCTCATGGATAGGAAGACTCAATATCATGGATGCAATGCTATTCCCATCGAGCTACCATTGACTTTCTTCACAGAATTAGAAAAACTACCTTAAGTTTCATATGGAACCAAAAAGGAGCCAGTATAGCCAAGACAATCCTAAGCAAAAAGAAAAAAGCTGGAGGCATCACGCTACCTGACTTCAAACTATACTACAAGGCTACAGTAACCAAAACAGCATGGTGCTGGTACCAAAACAGAGATATAGACCAATGGAACAGAAGAGGCCTCAAAAATAATGCCACACATCTACAACCTGACAAAAACAAGCAATGGGGAAAGGATTCTCTATTTGATAAATGGTGTTGGGAAACTGGCTAGCCATGTGCAGAAAACTGAAACTGGACCCCTTCCTTACACCTTATGCAAAAATGAACTCAAGATGGATTGAAGACTTAAACATAAGACCTAAAACCATAAAAACCCTTGAAGAAAACCTGGACAATACCATTCAGGACATAGGCATGGGCAAAGACTTCATGACTAAAACACCAAAAGTAATGGCAACAAAAGCCAAAATTGACAAATGGGATCTAATGAAACTAAAGAGCTTCTGCACAGCAAAAGAAACCATCATCAGCGTGAACGGGCAACCTACAGAATGGGAGAAAAATTGCTTTCATCTATCCATCTGACAAAGGGCTAATATCCAGAGTCTACAAGAAACTTAAATTTACAAGAAATAAACAACCCCATCAAAACATGGGCAAAGGATATGAACAGACACTCCTCAAAAGAAGATATTTATATGGCCAACAAACATATGAATAAAAGCTCATCATCACTGGTCATTAGAGAAATGCAAATCAAAACCACAATGAGATACCATCTCACACCAGTTAGAATAACCATCATTAAAAAGTCAGGAAACAACAGATGCTGGAGGGGAGGTAGAGAAATAGGAATGCATTTACTATTGGGAGTGTTGGTGGGAGTGTAAATTCAACCATTGTGGAAGACAGTGTGGTGATTCCTCAGGGATCTAAAACCAGAAATACCATTTGACCCAGTAATCCCATTACTGGGTATATACCTAAAGGATTATAAATCATTCTACTATACAGACACATGCACCCATATGTTTATTGCAGCACTGTTCACAATAGCAAAGACTTGGAACAACCGAAATGCCCATCAGTGATAGACTGGATAAACAAAATGTGGCACATATACACCATGGAATACTATGCAGCCATAAGAAAGGATGAGTTCATGTCCTTTGCAGGGACATGGATGAAGCTGGAAACCATCATTCTCAGCAAACTAAAACAGGAACAGAAAACCAAACACCTCATGTTCTCACTCATATGTGGGAACTGAACAATGAGAACACATAGACACAGGGAGGGGGATGTCACACACTGGGGCCTGTTGGAGTGTGGGGGGATTGGGGAGAGATAGCATTAGGAGAAATACCTATGTGCAGAAAACTAATGATGGGGTGATGGATGCAGCAAACCACTGTGGCACGTGTATACCTATGTAACAAACCTGCAGGTTCTGCACATGTACCCCAGAACTTAAAGTATAATAAATAAAATGTTGATTGATAGACAACAATAAGCTTCCTGTTTTATCCTTTTCCTGGTCACTAAATAATTCATGTATTTGTTAAATCACATTTATTGAGCACCTGTTTGTCTTGTGATACATTAGTGGGCACTAGAGATAAGTGATGACATATCTGTTTCCTAATTCTACTCCCATGTTTTTGTTAAAAGTATCACTATTACAGTATGTGGGAGGAAGATGATCAGAAGGGAGAAAGATTTCAGGGAGACCAAGTTCAGACAGTATCTTAACAGAATGGCTAGATAAGTATTCAGTGGCCAAACCGTTTTTAAACAGGGAAAAGCAGGTGCACAAAACATACAGGATCGTAGACTCTTAGGCGTTATCTTCATCTTCCAGGGGAATTTCCTCATAATGATATTATTAGAAGTCTCCATCCCAGGCTGTTGGATTTAACAGGAACTTTGTAGATGGACGTGAAGGACTTTCAGCTTACATTTTCATGTGTTTCTTTCTATCTCTTAATATTGTGGCTGCTGGGTAGTGGTGTTGTATAGCTTCACGTTTGTGTCACATTTTCAAGTAGGAGTGATGTGGGTGGTGTGAGAGTTGTTGAAATGTGAGTTGCGGTATAAGAATAGACCTAAGATAGCTTTGTCTATGGTTCGCTTAGGGGAGAAGGGGAGAAGTGGCCGTCCCTCCTCCCACTACTTGCAATAGTGCAAACATTACAGAGCCAGATAGTTTGCTCCTAAAGTGTGGTTGTCACACAGCCAGGGGCTGTCACACAGTTGATTCCTGTCGTTTTAGAGAATGGATTGTACCAAAACCAACCATAGTCTATGTTTCTACCGGCCATCATTTGAGACAAAAATAGTTTGCAAAACAGAAGATTTGTTCACTCTGAGGTCCTGCGTGCTAGGTTGTTTAGCTGAGTGCTTAGCACAAAGTAAGTGCTCAATACATATTTGTTCCTTTTGTCGTTTATATTTTTATTGTTTTATTATTAAATTTGCTGAAGTGCCATTTTTCCCCCTTCATATTCCAAAGGCATCTAGAAGTGAAAGGGAAAAGGGATACCATCAGAGATGAAAGGGAAGGCGGGATCAAGGGAGGAGCTATTTTTAAGACTGGGCTGCTGCTCTAAAGCGCAGAGGAAGAAACAAGAAGAATGAAGAGGCTGACGATGAGGGCAGAGGAGAGATCAATGGTTAACTGTGTAGAGTTGTGTGATCAGGTAGAGGGTCCTGGACAGGAAAACCAGTTAAGGGGAAAGCTAAAGCAATGTTAGCAAGCCGGGGCTTTGAAATCCTGATCAACTTTAGCCTGCCTTAGGCTAAGCCCTCTTCTGCTTCTAAAGCCATGAGCTATGGAAGGCCATACTCACTTTCCATTGCATGCCAGGCTGTGTTATGGAAGGCCATACTCACTTTCCATTGCATGCCAGGCTGTGCAAGGATTTGCAGATGAAAACAAATCTGCCTTATTGCTGGAGTGAAATTTAAGATTGGAGCGAGCTTGGGAATGACAGGTTGATAAGCAATTATTTTGTTTCCTTGAAAGCAAGATAACTGGCTAAATGTTGAGATTTCCGTTTGATAACTGCACAGTGGGCCACATGGCTTGTTATGCATAAGAAGCAACTGGAAAGGTCCGACCATGACTGTGGTCTGATCTGTCAAGGTGGCAGAGACCAAATGGACTCCATTTATGCTGAGCACTTCCCGGAAGGAAAAGGCTGATGATTTATCTGTCATCTCTGAGAAGTTTGCTTAGTATTGTCTGAGCTAAGGAGGCAGGGGCAGCATCTAACTGGTTTGTGGGCATGCAAGTTGATCGGGGTCTACAGAGAGTATTGTCGGGCCAAGTCTCCATGGACTGAATTGTGTCTCAGGCAGCGCAGAACACTCCCAAGTCACTGCGTGTGTGGCTGTGTCAGTGTCTGCTGCAGGAAGGGACTCCGTGGTGGGCTCAGAGGCATTGCCAACCATCCACGTGGCTGGCGGCAAGTCTCTTCACCCTGCAGGGGTCCAGCTTTATACATCTGTAAGGGAAGGGCACTGGACAAAGAGCCCTCTGGGTGACAAGGGTCACGACCTAAACATGCCCGCAGTACCTGGGCCTTGAGGACTGTTGGGTCCAACAGAAATGTTGGCTGAAATGGGCGGAATAAGATCATTTCCCATTGTATTTTCTCAGGCCCAGAGACATTGTTTTAACTCTTTCCTTGCTTTGTGTTGTTGTCTGTTAGAT